CACAGAAAAAGGACATCAAGCTAAAAATGGATATAACTAAACATAAAATGGGCCTAATAGAAAAAGAAGAATTAGCACAGAAAATTATAGGTGCTAAACAGAATTACTTTGAAGATGCAAATAAACCAGGTAAATGGTTAGCATATAAATTGAGAAAAGAGAAAGAATCAAGGAAAATATTGCAATTAATAGATGATCAAGGCCAAGTTTGCTATGGTAGTAAAGAGAAGAAGGAAATCATTCGAGACTATTATGGGAAACTATGCACACAAGAGAATATTGATGAGGAAAGAGTCAAACAGTACCTACAGAATGCTAAGTTACCCTAGACACCTAAAGAGATTGAAACAATGTTAGAAAGCAATATAACGATGATGGAGTTAACTGAAGCATCCAAGAAGCAAAATAATGGAAAGGCACCAGGCCCAGATGGACTTCCAGCTGAATTTTACAAAACATTACAAGAATCGTTGAATCTTCCATTGCTAGAAGTTATGAATGAAGTTATGTTAAAGAAGAGGATACCTAAATCATGGTCAGAAGCTTATATTACACTTGTTCCAAAAGAGGAGGCCGATCCATTACAAATTAAGAACTATAGACCTATTTCCCTACTAAACGCAGATTATAAAATTTTTGCTTCAATATTGGCAGAAAGACTTAAAAAATACTTAAATAATTTTATTCATCCTGATCAAAATGGATTTCTGCCAAAGAGACAAAGACAATATGAGAGTAATCTTGGATATCCTGGAATATTACGAGGCACATCCTGAAAAACAAATGGCTTTGATATTTCTAGATGCACAGAAGGCATTTGATAATGTGAATTGGCAATTCATCTGTTACTGCTGGAACAGATGGGCTTTGCTAGAAAATTTATTCAAGCAATAGAAGCTATATATCATAAGCAAATGGCAAAGGTAATGATAGAGGGAGAACTGACAGACTCTACTGATATAAGAAAAGGAACAAGGAAGGTGCCCACTATCACCTCTGTTGTTTGTGTTAACTTTGGAAGTGCTAAATAGAAATATTAGAGATGAAAAGAATATAAAAGGGATGAAAATTAAAAAGGAAGAATTTAAGTTGCAAGCATTTGCAGATGATCTAGTTTTCATCTTAGAAGACCCTTTAGAAACAGCATCAAAATTGATAGAAAAGATAGAGACATATGGAAAGATGGCTGGTTTGAAAATAAATAAAGATAAGGCAAAGATCTTGACAAAGAATATGCTATTAAGACAAAAGGAAGAACTGGCAGTCCTATTGAAAATTCAGGTCACGAATAAGATCAAGTACTTGGGGATATACTTGACAGCAAGATGCAGTACACTAAAACAGAATAATTATATCAAACTTAAACAGCAGATAGCGCTAGATTTGGCGAAATGGGAAAATTTACAACTGTCAATAATAGGGAGAATTTCAACAATCAAGATGAATATATTACCCAGAATTTTATATTTGTTTCAAACAATTCCAATTAGGCTTGGAAAAGACTATTTTGAAGATTTAAATAAAATTGTGTTGAAATTTATATGGCAAGGTAAGAAAGTGAGAATAAAGTTTAAACTTTTGCAAGATGCTAGAATAAGAGGAGGATTTGGTTTGCCTAATTGGGAGTTGTATTACCAAGCTACAAATTTGATGTGGGTTAAGGAATGGATAACATTAAGAAATACTAGATTGTTGACATTAGAAGGACATGATCTGTTGTTGGGGTGGCATGCTTTTCTATGGTATAAAGGAACTAAAACACAAGGGTACTTTAGAAGACATTATATACGGGAGTCTCTGTGGTTAAACTGGGAGAAGATTAAAAGACAATGTTATTCGAAAATTCCAGTCTGGCTATCGACTATTGAAGCATTTTCTTATCCTATAATATACAAAAAGGAACAAACAGTTTGATATGGTGAAATATTGAATGAAAAGGGTGAGCTTAAATCTATGCAAAAACTAGAGGAACAAGGTATAAAGATGAATTGGTTTTCATATGCGCAAATACATTCAAGGTATGATAAAGATTTTAAAATAGAAGGTTTCTATGATAAACTGACTGATTTAGATAAGATTTTGACAGGTACTGATGAAAAGGTGATTAGAAAATTGTATGGATATTTATTAGAAATTAAACTAGAAGAAGAACAAGTTAAAGAAACTATGATTGCTTGGGGGAAGAATTTTGGATATGGGATTGATCTAGAGAAATGGCAAAAATTGTGATCTCAAAATTGTAAAATGACAATGTCAACAGCATATAAAGAAAATTTGTATAAGATGTTTTACAGGTGGCATTTCCCCTCGACAAGAATAGCAAGAATGTTCAAGAATAAATCTGAAAAATGTTGGAAATGTTATCAGATACCTGGCTCATATTACCTTATGTGGTGGACTTGTGCGGATGCTAAAAAATACTAGGCTAAAATGCACACGTGGTTGGAAAAAATGACAAAAAAGCATATAGACTTGAAACCAGAGATATTTTTATTGGGAATTTTACCTGAAATATATAGTAAAGATTTGAAATACCTGATTGTAAATGTATTAACAGTGGCTAGGATTGTATTTGCTAAAAACTGGAAAAATGAGAAAATACCATCACAGGAGGAAATTATTAAGAAAATATTGGAATGTGCTGAAATGAGCAGATTGACATTTGAAATTAGAGAACAGGATGATAAACAATTTTATAAAGTTTGGGATCTATTCTATCAATGGTTAGACAATAAAGTATAGTAACGAAATATGTAGACTTTTAGAAAGTACTAAATATATAAAGATGTATTCTTTTCTTATTATATCTACAAAATGATTTTAGGATAGATTTAGGATGATAATATGAATTGTCACAAAACAAATTAAGTAAAATACGATTATTTTCCAAAGCATGAATGAATAAAAGTATAGTCAAATGATTGATTAATAATGATTCCAATGTATTCAATATTGGATTGAAAATATGATATCATATACAATGTAATTGTAATTGAAGACTACGAAATGGAAGCACAAAACAATTTGTAAACCAACCGGCACACTGTATGTGTGGCCTGATGTTTTTATGTTTTGTTTGTTTATGTTTGTTTTAAAAACCAATAAAAATTAAAAAAAGAAAAGAAAAGGCATCCCTCTTCTTATTTATTTACATATATCCTGTTTTTATTATTTTTATAAATAGCTCAAGGTGGTGAACATACCTAATATTCCTTCCTTCTCCTTTTCCCCACAACAACAATAATCCAGGGAGGTGAACTGGTTGAAAAAGAGTGACTGGTCCAAAGTCACTCAGGTGGCTTTCATGCTCAAGATAGCGCTAGAATTTAGCACTGGTTTCTTTCTTTTACTTTTTTTATAAATAGTATTGAGTAAATATTAAAATATCGGACACAGTGCGACCTTCCTGGCATTTGTCTTTGCCATACATACTATAACAGAAAACAAATAACCTTCTACTTATCATACATTGCTAAGTTTATACTACATCCAGTATATTCATTTATATTTACAACATAAAACCTCGTGATTTGCTACCAGTCTGCTGGTTTCTAAGCCAGTACCTTAACTACTAGACCAAACTGGCTCTTACTTAAATGTTTTCGTTCTAAGTTTTCTTTATTTTTCATTATGATAGTTCAATAAAGAAAGAACAAAATTAAGTGCAGTTGTAATAGTTTTCTGTGAGCCTTTGTACAGTCTCACCATATCGATGAATCCCAAATCGCATTGTTTATTGGTATTTATACAGTTATTTGTATTTCTGCATCCCTGTTTGATGGAAATGAACAAACTATAAATATTTTGCTTAAATGCACATGATAATAACAGAATTAAGATAAATTAACAATGGAGGTGGGGAAGTGTTAACAGCAATATTTTATTGATTCTGTCTACCAAGATGTGAAAGAAAGGCAAACTTGGCAACCACAAAAGAGAGAAATACACAACCCTGTTTTTAACTGTCCAGAGAACAACTGGAACAAGGAGAGGAGAGGAAATGAATAAGTCAGTCCTTTTTCAGAAGGAGAAATAGAAGAAGCTGCGTGAGGCAAATATGGTTGCCTCTATTTTATCTTAAGGTAGAATAGCCATATATGCAACATATGCAAAATTAAACAGAGGTGACTGTTAACAAAGCATGCTTCTGAACTACTGCTCTTAGCATTCTTCATCACTGCTTAATTTAGCAAGGGTGTATTAGGATTTTTAGGAACATCTGGAAGGATACAGATTCTCTGTGCCTTTGTGAGGCAATTAGGCAAAACTGGCTGGAGGCCACATTCAATCAGTGAATATACTTTCCCCATCAGTATCAAACCTGCACACGTACATTTAGTGTAAATAGATAGTTAGTCCGTTGACTTACATAGATACACATAGAATAAATAGATAAATATCTTCTCATAGTTTAGTTGATAATTTGTTAGCTTGGGCTCTGAATAAAGAATAAGCCTTGGATTCTTGCTTTTTTCATTCTTGATGAAAAGCAACCAGCTACGAGATATTTATTCAACATCATTCTGAACTGAGCATTTTTGTTTTTAATATTATGGTGAATGCACTTCACTTCCAAGCAGTACTTGCTGTAGCAGAACAAATACGTTTGAAATTCACCCGCGGCAATGTCCTTGATGGAGTGGGTCTTTCTTCTTTTCTTCCTTCCTTTCTATGCAAGGATGCAAAATATATGTGGGTCTTTGTCTTCTGTATTTTGTGACAAAAGAATTCCCATTTGAATTGTGGTGCTCTATTCAGCCTCCCTCTGAGCCTGTGATTAACAGCAGTCAGTCTTTGCAGTATTCTGACGTCATCCAGTGTATGCATAAGCTATGCTATTGTCTTACTGAGAGCAGGAGTTGTGGATTGCAGTATAGTCTCTGCTATCTATTTCTGCTTTCCTGCTCTACAGAAGAGACACAGACTATTCCTTGTCTTCTGGATTTTAAAACCAATACTCCTGATTTTTTTTCTTCTTCAAATCTTTCTGTTGCTACTGCGAAGATTTTTTGCTTTAAGGCAACAAGAAAGGCTGTCTGTAAAGCGAAGCTTGGGAGAACATAAAATCTGCCAGTTGGATAGCTGTGGGAACTGCATTGTCTGGCTTCATGATTCCCGCTGTGTAGCAGTCTCATCCCTTCTCTGATAGATTCCCTCTATCTCTCTCCCTTTTAACCCATCCTCTGAAGCATCTGGAGCCAGCCATGTTTGGCACCGAGTCGTCATGTAAGTAAATGGGATGCCTGACCTTGTATTTCTGTTTTGGAACAGAACTCGCTCCGTGGTTTTGATCCATAGGCAACAACTATCTGCTCTGCTGAATAGCAGCCGTGGAATACGTTATTCTAGTTTAAGAAACTGGGGATGCCGTGAAGGTTTTACCCAGCTTTCTCTATGCATGTCTTTGACACTAGCTGCAAGGCAGGGTAGAATGGATAGGGATGCTGCCGAATCCAGGCTACTTGGAGGAAATAATCTGGCATTGCTCATGAAAGTGTTCAACCTGTATGGATATCTGGATATCTTTGAGATGCTGTCTCTCACACACCATTATGGCAGATACAGTCGTTTCTAAAGGTGCATTAATGAGGGTGTTTGAAAGACTGATGGATTATATGCTGGAAAATTAGAATGTATTTAATCTAACAAAAGAGTGGTAGCTTTGTGCTATGGAAGAATGGGCATTTCTTGGGAGGGGGAGGGAATGCTTTGTTTTAGCTTGCTTTATTGGTGTGATGGGGTGGAAAGGACAAGCATTTGGGATACAGTAAGAGGAAGATAATGCCAATAATTTGTGTCATACAGAAATTTGCAAGCTCCATCTGGTGTAGCAGAGGCAGTATGGATGCCTTTTGCTGAAAACTGGATGGATTTGTTTCCTCTTTAAAGAATTTTTTTTGGGGGGGGAGAAATCTAAAACGAGAGATGATTGTGATGAGTGTTCATTCCTCAAAGCATTATTGTTGATCACATGGATATATAAGAGCCAGGGAATATTAATAGCCAATGAGGCTAAAAATAATAATTAGATACTATAGACTTCTTCAAAAAAAGAATGACTTAACCTTTCACGATGTAAATGTTTATGACATGGGAATCAGTTTATTTTCCTTTCTGGTTAATCTGAAGAGATTACACAGATTATAGATCATTCAGAACAATAACATTTTAGGAAATCTGACACTTAAAAAACTGATGGTTTCAAAGGGTTAATTGGTTCTTTGATTTAGCTTCCCACTCTTTGTAACACAATGCCTGCTCAAGGTCAAGGCAGAACAAAATGCATCATTGCCTGTACATTGTTAGAGGTCTCTTCCTTTCTTTTTCCCTAGAAATGTTTCATTTATGTCATCATTTAATTTAAGTTGACGATTGCTTTTTTTTAATACATTTAACAGATGATATTGGAAATAAAACGGTCAATGCTTTTAGCCTCATGAAATGGCCCTTCCCTAAATATCTGGGCAATGTAACTTATAAGAATCCTCATAAGCAGTTCCAGAAGAAAAAAGAAATAAACCTGGACTATTATTGCAACCTTTGTACTAAGGATATATTCTGTAATTATGGCTAATGATGAGTATAGATATCTAATAAATGGTCCACAGCATAAAGGATTTTGTCATTGAACTATTTAGTGGATCATCAATGTGCTGCTTAACAGACTGCTCTTCTAGTAACAGCTGGGCAAGCCTTTGTTACTATGACATCCAGATTAATGAATTTTCTATTTTAAAAGAGTATGTGATGCAATCAAGGCTAAGAACTATTTATTTTATAAAATGTATATTTTCTTTTATTAAAAGCAACAAATGAAAAACACTTGTTCTTCAGAATTCCACCAACAGAAAATTAAGCAGAGTTAAATGCTACTTTATTTAATTGTAGCTCAGATATTAACACCATCACAACTGATATGAGAGAGTTTTGCAAGGGTTTTTCATTTTCATTTTTATACGTCATTAGCTGAGGGCAGCCATATATTTGCACTTAACTGTGTTGAAAACCTGAGGTTTGTGGTATGCAAGGTTCTATTCACTCCATGTGGAAATGGTGAATTACAATTTAAAGGAAACATAATACTGATTTAGTGGCATTTTTCAGTAGTATGTCACTTTGAAAAGTGTTCCAAAAGACTGTTAGTCTTTATGCATTATAAGATAAGCCATTCCTTCCTTGATCTTTTCTTTTAGCCCAAATCTTCCCATTTTGGGGGGAACGGCCTTGCTTCTTGTATCAAACCCCACTCATGTGTTGACCTTATTGATTTTGGTAGGAAACATTTTCAGGTTGCCTGTTCCAGTGGCCCCCAGCGTTTTGGGCACAAGGGGCTGGTTTCTGTGGAGAAAGGTTTTTCCATGGACCAGTGGGGGGCGTGGTTTTGACTGCTGCCTGCATCCCACAAATAGGGCTTTGCTTGTTTGTGCGGCCCAGTTGCTGGCATGCCGCAGACGCTGTCTGGTCACAGTCTGGAGGTTGAGGACACCTGGTCTGTTCTATCCAATATTTGAAGTCTTGTTTCAGAATCATTTCAGAATTTCTTCTATCTTTTGCACCACGAATATGGAAATTACTATTCAAAATTTGGTGAAATATTCTGAATGAAGGGGTGAATCCAGTACTGTTTTGAGAAGGCAACCAGCATAGATGTAACTCTTCCAAAATTCTTCATGAAAATCTGTTGTCAGCATTTTGAAGAGATCCAGTTTTGCAGTAAGAAATAGGGAAGGACTATGAGTCTTCCACCAGGAAATATTCAAATCTTCAGTAAGGAAGTAAGAAGCTACTGACAGTAATTAAAAAAAAAATTCTCAAATATATTTCACAGAGCTTCCTATTAGCGCAATTACATTATGTGAGTTACTCTCTTCTTAACATTAGTTGTAGTTTAAAATCCTCTTAAATTCCTTTCAGAGATATGTTTAGAATAGTTCTGAAAGATACTTCTATTGTCCTTCTATCCTGATGCTACTTAATAAAACTATAAAAGCTAGGCAGTACAGAACTTCAGTCTTCAGATACACAAATATCTTTCTAAGCAACCATGTCATGGGCATAGGGGAAAGAGGCTTATATGCCAACTATTTGTCATTATAACGTCTATTGCATGAACAGACAAATAGCTGCATAGGATTGCAAAAATGTATAGAGGTATAATGTTAGGGTTCTTCCTCAAAAGTAGTCTTTCTAAGGGTTTTTTAGTATTTTGCATTCATTTAAAAAATCAGTTCACAATGAGGATTCCATTTTGTATAAATATGGCTTATTGTCAAAATACACGGCCATCTTAGATGGCCCAATTCAAGAAGCAATCATTAAGCATGGGAATCTGGGGGCCTAGCTTACCTATATGAAAAAGAACAGGGGATAACTATAAAATGCCCCAGATTCAATACTTAATATATTCAGATAAAAGATTAGTTTATGTTGGAAAGCTCCCAGCCAGCAAGGAGGAAGAATCAAGCTGGGAACTAGCCTTGAGTTCTTGTACAACTACAAGAGACCTAGGCTTGGCCACCTCCATCCCCAAAGTTCCATGGAACCTTCTCTGTTTGTTCTCAAGGGAAGGAAAGCAGTCTGGGACATTCTTGTACTACAGGTAAAACACAATAAAGTAATCAACTTGAACCTTTCACATGTGGATCTGGTTGCTTGCCCCTGACAGTTGATGTGTTGCAATGGTTAGAGTGCAGTACTGCAGGCTAATTCGGCTGACTGCTGGCTGCCTGCAATTTGGCAGTTCGAATCTCATCAGGCTCAAGGTTGCTATTCTTAGAAATCATTGCCAGTCATTGGAAAGAATATATTTTTTTTTTCTGATGAGCCTTGCATTCCCTTAGGATGAAAGGGAATGCAATTCCCATTAAGGGATGCATTAAAGTAGATGCTTTGCCAGATCCAAAGGATGAGATGAGATTATCCTGTTCCAGCAGCACCTTTCTTCTTTCTTTTACTCTGCTATCCTGTCTTTTTTTCCCTTTGCTCATGTCCTAGAACATTCTTAATTCTGGAATTCTCTGAGTTATAATATTTTTTTTTTAAAAAAAGAACAAATATTATGTAAATTTGGATTTCGGAAAAATGTTTCAGTCTTGACTGGAATAAATAAAGATTTGATGCAAGATGAATATGAGATAGCATTTCACAGATCTACTAAGAGATAGCATTTCACAGATCTACTGAAACAGCTATTTGCTATCAGTTAGCCTTCACAAGGCTGGCCTGCTAATCTGCCGAAATATGTCAAGGAAACCTCATAGCATTTGGAAAGTTCATATCCCAAGACATTTCCAACTTGAAAGAGTAGTGTTCTCAACCTTGACTTGTGCTTGGAAACAGGCAAATAATGAACTAATGAGAACTAAGTAAGACACGCCCCGCTCCACCAGACATCACTTGAGACAATCCCCATCTCCTGCACTGCTTCAAATTGATCGCTCTTTTCCCTTTGAGAAACTTGTTTTCCTAGAAACCTGCTCCTCCACCTTCGTTCTTGGTGAGAAGAGTACAGTGGGGTGAGGGCAAATAAGGAGGCACCTTTTCCAAAATTAAGTATAAGCTGATCAGTTGGCTAGACCTGGCTACAACTCTTTGATTTAAGACTCTTTGGGCTTTTTAACTTCTTAAGATTTGGCAGATATATGTATGTGGACTACATAGGCCAATAAGCTTTGCATTTTGCCATGGGGACAAAAAACTCAATCTTTGCACTTATTGACTGGAAAATCTTAATTTCTGAGGCACTTTTGGTGGGGATTTGGGCGAGTCCACTCCAATGCCAGTTCCTTGATGCTTGATAGGCCATATGATTTGTTGATTGATGTAACATCATATTACTATTTCAAAGTATTGTTTGGTGTTCAGTCAGTGTAGCCACAGGTTTCCTGGAACTTATCAGCAAGAAGATCTTTCCACAAATCAATATTGTAGAGACAGATATAAATTGTTAGGTGATGTTCTGCTCTTTCCAGCAACGAAAGCAGAAAACGCCATTGTGGTATATACTTTTAGCTCTGCAGCTGGATAGGGAAACAGACTTCCAATATATAGCTTGAAACTGAGATGGTGACCTTTCAAAGACTTCTTAAGGAGCCCTAAAATATTCTCAGAAGGGATTTTCTTCCAGTTTCCCACGAACAGCACCACTTTCTTGCTGGATTACCTTCATCCAACTTCAGACAGTGTCAGAACCATGCTGATAACAGGATGAAGGCTCTGCTTTGAGA